GACCTGATTATAAGAGATAGTGGTGATTGATATTCGAGATGGGGCCATTTGGAATGTGGGCTAATCAGGTAGTCACAGTACGGTAGTAAATAAGGAGACGGTACAACGGTCTGTCGGGTTATCCAATTAAAAATCTAGGCCAGTCATCTTCTTTGTGAGGAGATCCATCCCCCGGGGACAGGGAGTCTGCTACATTTGACTATGTATGAAACGAAGACGGGGCAACTCGGGCTACCCTTGAGGCAGGACTTCCAGATAGGAGGCACCGTTCGATCCGAATCGATCACGACTCTCCTCTAGGCAAACCTTACCGTTCGTCCTCGGCAAACAGGTGGGCCGGCCTCTTTTTTGCAGTCGTTATTCAAATTTTATCAATCGCCGGACCGGTCCATCAGCAGATCAACTTAGCGAAGCTGTTCTGTAATAAAACGTCCCGCATCATCACGGTGATGCTAAGTTCAATTTAAGCAGTTTGTTTGATTTTTATTCGGTCATATGATACTATGCCAAAACGACAATATTTGAACAAATATTTCTACAGACAACCAAAACACACTTACAAAACAAGTAGTCCTTATTTATTTATTTTTTAACATGTATCGATTTTAGGTACTGCCTTCTGCTGCTCTTCTTCAGCTCTTATGACTTAAAACAAAAATAAAACACCCTTCAAATATTAAAGAACAACATGTTAACAATTAATAAAAGTAACATACGTGGCAAACACTGAAGGTTACAATTTAGACCATGATATTTGAAATGTTTTTTCTTATGACGTTATGCGTCGTCAACTTTTAACTGATACATTATGTTAATTTTTAATCATTATATTGGGTTGTCCGGAAAATAATGCAGGATTTTAAGTTTTCATTAAAAAAAATCTATATAAAATATTCTGTTTACGTTTACAGGATTACTCATTTGTATGAATGTCAACACTTATTAATCCTCTTCCAAATGATATTGTTTGTTTACCTCTGTAGCATTCCGCTACTTGGAAAT